GTGGAGCAGCTGTGACATGAACTGGTGCCTATATGAGATGCCAGCATTACAGGTGGGGCTTAATCTCCTACACTACAGTGCTGTCCCGCAAGAATACATTTATTAAAGCAAAGAGGAACTGTAGCTTACTCTATTGTATCCTCTTTCAGAATAGGCAGTTTCCCTAAAGTAGACACATCACACAGTGACCCACAGTCTCTTGTGGCTACTGTCAAACAAAATTGCCCTTACTATCACAGTATCATAGCATGGGCCTGTACAAGGGGAGCTGTCATCCGGGCCCATCTCTACTTTCTGTAGAGGATTCTATAGAGATCAGTGAACTGAAGTTACTAATCAAGGGTCACATAGCCAATGGATGGGAGTCTAGAGCTGAATCTATTCTCTTAACCCCCAGTCCAGGTTTCCCAAAGTGTGGTCTGCAGACCAGTTACATCATATGCCTGGGAGTTCAGTAAAACTGTGATTCTTGGTCCCCAGTGGAATCAGAATTATTTGGAGTTCAGTCCAAGCTCCTCAGTGATTCTTACATACACTGAAATTTGGTCTTATGCCAGGCAACCTCAAGACCCCCTTCCCTGGGAAAGCCATCTACTAAGTCATTTTTCTGGAATTCTAACCCTCAAGAATGACCTGCCTGCATATTCTGCATTGCTGAGTTTGTTGACTGTACAGACCATTCAAATATCAGCTTAATTTATTTTTAAAAGTTTTATTTATTTTCACTTTATTTGAAAGGCAGGGAGAGAGAGAGAGAGAGAGAGAGAGAGAGAGAGAGAGAAATCTATCTGCTTGTTTACTCTGCAGATGCCTGCCACAGCCAGGGCTTTGCCAAGCTGGAGCCAGGAGCCCAGAACTCAATCCGATTCTCCCAGCTGGGTGGTAGGGGCCCAGATATTTGTGCCATCATCTTCTGCTCCCCAGGATGCACATTAGCAGGAAGCTAGATCTGAAGCAGAGGAGCTAGGAATGGACTAGGCATTCTGATTTGGGATGCACGTGTCCCAGGTGGTGCCTTAATTGCTGTGCTAAACACCTTCCTCTAGATATGAGCTTTAAAGATGATTAAAAATATTATTACAACTTGGGAGCTGAAACCTCTAATTTAGAAAGAGAGATTTTGTTCTATAGTCTAAGAGTTGGATCAATTGTTGAAATTGTTGATAAAGCCTAACAAGATAAATACATATGATTTTTAAAAATTTTGAATTGAGTCTAATGGAGCTTAACATTGAATATATCAGTCTGCTTGTGTTTTTATAAAAACTACTTTGGGTGAATTTTTAGGATGCTAGTACAATGAGAAGACTGGTTGGAGGGGAAGAAAAGGGAGAAGGAAAGTTTTCTATGCTTCTTGATTTGTGAACTCTATGAATGCATTGCCTATTCATGAATTTTAGGATAATATAAAGACTTAGAACTTTGCCTACTAGCTCTGGCTCTTCACAGGGTAGATGAACAAATTCTCTAGAGTGTAGAAGGTAATGAACAATTCTAAAGGTCAGAGCCAGGAAGGGAAGGACTGCAGATTCAGCGAGTTTTAAGGAAATCACTAATTAGCTTGAAAAGATAAGTCATTGTAATTTAGTACTTATACCCAGGATCTTAAAGCCCCTCCTTGGTAGGCCTCTCATCACTGGGGTTTCAGTGACCTTGGGCAAATCACTCAACCCTCTTGAGACTTAGTTTTCTAGTCTGTGATAATAATTATGAAAACTCATTGTTTTCAAATTGCTGATTGTTTCTGAATACATGGTGTAGCCTTGCTAACTCTGGGGAGCAGCTAGGATGGTGCTATCTCTGCTGTTCAGATGAGGAAGTTGTGACCCAGAGAGGCTGCATGCTGCAGTAGAGGGGTGGAGTGTCTAATTTCCAGTGTGGGTCTGATCCACTGTGACATGAAAGGGGCATGGATGAAACAGGTTCCAGGGCCCCTTCCAGCGTTAGAGTCCTTGAGTTTATGGGATACTCAGGGCTAAGGCAACTTTTGTTAAAGTCTTTTGGAGAAATCCAAAAGAAAGTGAAAACATAGGTCCTCAATTTCAGGAACTTGGATTGTAATTAGGGTATAAGAACATGCTCATGTGAAGACAAGGAATATCTACAGATCTAATATATACCAAATTATGCAAATTTCAACTATTCTAGGAGATCTCATATTACATAGCACAAACTTTGAAGGGTAGAGAATCCCAATTCCTAGAGAATAACAAACATTTGACTCTTACTCTCTCCATAAGTAACAGCAACTATTATTAAGCACCCACTGAGGTAAGCATTTGATATATGGTATCTCATTTAATCCTTATCACAACCTTCTGAGAAATGTATTCTGATCTTAATTTTTAAATATAAGGAACAGAAAGTTAAAGAATAAGAGATTTGAGTAACTGGGTTATAGAAGGCAGAGCCAGATTACCAGAAGGATCCTTTGTTGGCTTTTGGTGTGTAATACTTGGGTAGCATGGTTTCAGATAAGGGCATTTGAAAAAGAAAACAAACTGATTGGTAGCAGTATCCAGGGTGAGCTTGGTTTCCGACAATAGCAGATTCATACAGCTTTGGTAGGTTCATTGGTAAAGAAGCGTCCATGAGTTCTGCATCCTTGCCTCAAAACTGTTACACAATCCTGGCTTCTCCCGAGTAGCATTCATTACTTTTTGCCTTCCACATATGCTAAGCAGAAATGGAAGAACTTAACTCTTGCAGGTAGTAGGTGACTGAAGGCAAATGATGGACATACTAAACAACTGGATGGGCTTTGTCACCCTAGACTTTTGTGGGTATAGAGTGGGCATTTGGCACAGTGGTTAACACACAGCTGGGGATACCCATATCTCATGTCAGAGTACCTGGGCTTGAGTCGTCGCTCCAGTTCTGATTCTGGCTTCTTGTTACTATGCATCCACGAAGGCAGCAGGAGAGGGCTGAAGTCCTCGGGTCCCTGCTCGCATAGGAGACCCAGATGAAGTGCCTGGCTCCTGGTTTCAGTGAGACCTGCTCTGGCTGTTGGGGGTATCTGGGAAGTGAACTGGCAGATGGAAGATCTCTCTCTCTCTCTCTTTCTGTCTCTCTCCCCTCAACCTTTCAAATAAAATTTTATAAGTTAATTAATTAAAAATAAGAGTTTTTGGCCAGCTCTTGTGAAAGGATTCAGTACCTTCTGTCTTTCTTTCAATATATTTTTTTCATCATTTCTCTGCCACTTAGACCTGGAAACTTCCCTGCCATCATTTCTTTCAACCTCTTCTGCATTGCCAGAGTCAATGTTTTCTGCACTTGAATGCTGCAGAAGCCTCTTGGCAGTTGTCTCAGCATTCACTCAGGCATTCTGGGAAGTTAGGGAAATTTACATTGTTTCCTTAGTTCACATCCATACAGGCATAGCTCAGCTGGGTTGGCAGAAGGCTTTTAGAGGTTGTAAAAACTCTGCTTTGCTTAGGACCCTCGCTCCCCGCAGAGGTCTGCTGCTTGTCCTTGGTCTGTGTCCTCGGCAGGCCTTTCACTTGAGTCAGACTCCTCTAATAAGAGAGTTCTTGGGTTTCAGTCTGGGGGAACCCAGCCTCCGCCCGCCAGACTTCCTGGAGAGCTCTCTGCCGATGCTGAAAGTGCCTGGAGCCTTGGAGTATTGGATAGAGCTCCCTTTCGAAGGGGTCTCAAGATTCCTGAGACATAATATATTTGTGGCTACAATTTGTTAAGAAAGAAAGCAGGCTGTTGCAGCCAATAAATTGTCAAAGGAGCACATACCTAAGATAGAGCAAATGGTTTGCAGTACACAACGCCCTCAACTCCCTTTTCGAGTGCTCTGCTCTGTGTTCAATATTTCCAGGAACTTGCAGTCAAAGCTTATTTCTAAGCAGACTTCTGGTTTCTGTGCTTTACATTTAGCAAAGCCCTTGGGGCATGTGTTGAGTGAGGAATGCCTTTTTGTTCACCTGCTTCTTAGTCTGAACTTCAGATAAATCAACCCTGCTTGTTCCCTGTGGGAATCCCAAGATCTGGTAAGTGGGATTTCTCTACAAGGATATATGTCTAACGGTATTCTGGGGAGCTCCGTAGCCCACTGAGTAAGCTTTAACAGGAAATTTGGAGCTAGCTAGCACCCACAGGTACTCCCGCATTGCTTCGAAGGTCGCTATGGCATCACGAAAATTGGCTGACAGAGAAACAGTTGATTTATCCCGCAGGCGTTGCTTCTTTGAAAACACATTTGATATCCATTCCTATTAAACCTCCGCTCCAAATCTGATCCTTCTTCTATTTATATATTTCTGTTCTTATATTAATATATACTGTAGCCAGATATTTTGCTGGTTTATATGATTTTCCTTTGCCTTTTCATAATTCTGTCCAACTTCTTAGGTATAGAATTTCCAAAGCTAGTTGTCAGTGTGCCAGAACAGCCCTGACTTTAGCAAAATAGCTTTATGCTTTGCTCAACTGGGCCATGGAACGACGTAGATAATTTATGCTTACCTTCACCGCATTTGAGGGAGAATCCGTTTGGAAAGGGTTCTATATCCTGACTTGGAATAGATCTAATAATATAAACCTTCCCTCCTGTAATTACCAAGATATACTAGCATGCTAATAATGCTGTAATTGAAATGATGCTTAAAGGAGTACTCAAATATTTTTGACTTTTTATATCCTGTCCCACCTTGTTTAGGTAAACTAGGGGAAGATATATTCTGGGAAAGAAAATGGTTGAAGTTAACTGAAGAATGTGCCTAGAAATACACAAAATATGTTGTAGGATCAAAGATCAAACAGTTCATATGGAGCAAGGAGTATTCAAATTAGAGTGGTAGGATGTGGGGTTGAATGGTAGCTTAGCCTGGCTCAGAGTACTTGGGTGCTAATCATTATGTTCACCTTATTTAAGAGTTCTTTTTCATTGAAGACTATATCTGAACGGAGAAATAAAAAAAAAAACACTTTAACTTTTGACTTAGTCATTACCAGAGGTGCTTAATTATTCAGACCCCAAAGCCTTCATTTTGGCAAAGTCATCTGCTCATGGCTTAATAATGTTTTAGGCATGGTGTCAGCATTCAGATTTTTTTCTGAAGTGGGAATCTTGCAAATGCAAGCATACCAAGTGATGGCAAATGTCTTGAGGAACTTCCACAAACAGCTAAGTGTGCTCAGAGCCACCTCAGTGCAAGAGGGATGCTGTAGAGGAAAACCCAGTCATCCAGCACCCTTTTTTCAACCTTCACCTAATCATTTTCTCTTTGCTTCCCCCACCTGGACCTATCTTACCGAGTCTTCTCAATGAATATTTGGCTTGAACGGCATTCACTCGACTTTGTCGCTGACACACCCGTTGTACTGACGGAATCCTGGCTTGATTGCAGCTTGCTCAGCTGTGCTTTAGACAAACCCTGCTGGCTGACCTGGTTTAAACCTGGCTTTCTTGACGCCATCTCTGGCATGTTCCAAGGTGAAAAAGGACTCTGCTGCCCCTTCCATTGCTCCTCGGGAGGGGAAACCAGTTGCCACTTGGCACCCGCGTTTATTAGGCTTGCGTCCAGAATAGTAACATGATTTAGTGAGAATAGTACTGGACCAGAGGCAGGAAACTCAAGTTCTAGTGCCGGCTGTACTATCCAATCACCATGTGACCTTGGACACATCATTTCGCTGCTTAGTTTCGGGTTTTTCATCTACAGAGAAAAGTTGGAATTGATGTTTTTTCTAAGGAATGTTCTGATCATGACATAAGGGGTTGACACAAGATTAACAAACTCTTGAATGAAGAGGGATTTGGTTTCTACCTGCTTTTCTTTCAACACACCACTTGCTTCTTTCAATGAAACATGGGCTTTCTTTTTGTAGTTTTCATAGAATGCAGTTAACTTACCTTTTAGTCATGGGCCTAGGTATCTCAAAGTCCCTCCTTTAACCCACACAGTCTTCTAAAGGATATCCTAAAGTCTATAAGTTGGGACAGGTGGTTCTGCTTATTAAACTGTCCCTCTTGGATGTTTTATGCTACTTTAAGAAGCTTTTTCTTAAATCACTTCATTATTGACCCCTTTTAGAGTAATGCTTTAAAAAATATAACTGATAAAAACCATGCTTGAGATAATTCTAGGTATTTTACATATAATATTTCACCCTAACTGTAAGGACACTGAAAGGAACTGTTACTGTCTGTATTTGACACATGCCAGCCTCAAGGCTGATTGAGGCTATGGAGTGGCACAGTGTTAATACTAGGTAGGGCTGGGATTCAGATTGAGGTTCTTCTGTTACATAGTTTGAACTATTGTCACTATGAGAAGTAGTTGCCATTGCTATAAGAATACCTGGTGTTTGTGCAGCATATCTTCAGGAATCCTTTCAGGTCTCAAAGAAAATGATTTCTAACTGCATTTCAAATGCTTGGAATTTATGCTGTGCCAAGCACTTTTCCACTTAATTTTAAATCCATGAGTATTTCAAGGGGAATTTAACCCATATGGTTCTGATTCTCTTGTATTTAGCTCATCTAAGAGGATTGTTTTGTAAACCTTAGTCCCTTCTTATGAGCACTTTTGAGTTCATATTTGGCTGGCATTGACTGGATTTCAAATCTGCCATGGTTGGCACTTGGTTTTAAATCTTCTTTCCAACCACTATTTCTTGGTGGTTTCATCCTATGAATGGGATAGAAATTGAAGGTGAGTCATAAAATGTCTTAAATAAAAGTGCACCAAGATTCCAGTCATACAAGGAGAGTGGCATTGGCCTATGAGGTACCCTACGTGCTACCCTACAGTCTTATTCTACTAAGTGGTTGAGTTATGCATGAATATGATTTATAAAGGTAACAAAATTAAATTCAGAGATGTGGTATTTTCCCTTGGAATGGTATAGAGCAAAATTGACTTTGAGATATGATGCATTTGTGGAATATTACTTTGGAAAAGCCTTTTAGCTTACAATCTTCTACATGGGAAACATTAGAGTGATAGAGACAGAAGAAAATTTCTTTCAGAAGCCCCCATTAACCAAGTAGAAGGCAGGCCTGTTTATTGTCTTTGCATTTAGATGAGTTGGGTACATTCAGTTCAGATAACCTGCTGGGTTGGAGAATTAATTAACTTGTCTAATTAACTTCACATGAGCTCTTCCAAGGAATGTGTGTGATTTTTGGTGGCTGTGCCTGGCCCAAATGGAAGCAAGAACAATGTTTGAACCTAGTTAACAGTTTGATTCAACAAACATATATTGGGTGTCTTTTTTTTGCTGGTAGTTAAAGATAAAGGATAAGAGTTCGGAGATTTAAAAAAAAAAAAAAAAAAAGGCTGTCTCTCCTCCTGGGGAATGTATCATCTAGTTGACTATGTCCTATGTGCTTTTCACTGTACCACAAGGCCAAACGGTGTGACTGTCAAATAGGCAATGTAATACGCCATGCAATGTGCAATGGAAGCTCAGAAGATGATGTTCATTTAGACTTACCATGAAGTTGGACAGTTTTCTTGCAGAATGTAGCATTTAAGTTTGATCTTGAAGCATGAGAAAAGACTTTTGAAGAGGAAAAGGCACTCTGGGATGAGTGAGCTAGACATGTTCTTGGGAAATACAGCCAATGCCAAAGAGTCTTCCCAGATTTCTGCTGTGTGTAGACGTGGGCTGGTGTGAGTCTGTGAAGGGGATTGGAGCTCTGGAAACTCCTGCTGGGCTAAAGAGGGTTATGCAAGCTTCTCAATAATAAGCAGCCAGGATTAGCCTGACAGCCTTTAACTGAGCATGGATTTTCAGTGCTGGGACAGTTTAGTCTTGGATCAAGGAGGGAACACAAGGTAAGGGCAAAAGGAGGGAACAAGATGTGAAGGAACATGTCTGAAATGCACACATCATCCTTGCATGCCATGTTTAAGTGGGACATACTACACAGCTTCTTAACATGACCACACATTTGAATAATGTACAAAAAAAGACCAGTTCAATCAAATGATGCATCATAGGTAAAAAGAATCATTTTATCATAATATGATTATCATAGAAGGAGGTACAATAAGACACAAGATTAAATGTTTTACATACTTTATCTCATAGTTCTTGCAGTTTTCATTCTTACACCTGATTATTATATGTGCCCATGGTTAGGAAAGTGAGGATCAGAGAGTAAACAGTTTGTCCCTGGTTACATAGGTCTATCTCAGTTTGCAGAAACAATGTGAATGTGACTTACTTTTCTACTTATAACTCATTTTCAATGTACTATATAACATATTTAAAGGAAACGTGATATAAAAAAATAAAGGAATGCCCAGTGCCTAACTTAAATACTAACCCATTACTGACTCCTATGTGGGATTCCCTTTCCCATCTCCTGCTTCCTCCCAGAGGTACCTTGTCATATTAAAAAATAAGGTTTATTTATTTAATTTATTTGTAAGGTACAGTGACAAAGAGAGAGGAAGAGATAGAAAGAGAGATCTTACCTGCTGGTTTACTCCTCAAATGCTCATAACAGCTAGGGCTGGGCCAGGCTAACCTGGAGTCAGGAACTCCAGTTGGGTCTCCCATGTGGGAGTCAGGGAGCAAATACCTGGGCCATCATCTGCTGCTTCCCAGGTGTACTAGCAAGAAACTAAATCAGAAGGAGAGACGCGGACTCCATCCTAGGCATTCTAGTATGGGACACTTAACCTGTGTGTCACAGTGCCTTTCCCTGTCGTAAATTTTATTATGTATATTTTCCAGCTGACACTAAAATTACTTCTGTGGCTTTGTACTTTAGGGGAAAGCACAACTGAGGTAATTTGCATTTCATGCAAGCAACGCTTCAACAGCAAACTAAGGGTTTAAGTGTAGTTCAAGATTGAGGCTTTTGAGGACAAGGACTTTGAAGCGCATACAAACTTTGCCTTAATCTTGAAGGCCATGATTTCATCTTGTGGTGAGGCTGAATAAGAGACATGTAGTAACAGACGGGACCTGATCTGGTGTTTTAGGGATTTCAGTTTTAATCTCATCTGCTACTATTTGTTGTGTAACGTTGAAAAGATCAGTTTTCTAAGTTTAAATTTACCCTGTATAAGTCACATGGCCTCTTTGAGAATGACATAGTGAGGAAAGCACAAATTTCAGAATCTGAAATAGCAATATTTGAATTTTCGTTCTGCCACTTAACTCTTTTAAGATTATTTATTTGAGAGGCAGAGTTACAGAGAGGGGAGGAGAGACAGACAGACAAAATGAGAGAGAGAGAGAGAATTTTCCATCCACTGGTTCACACCCCAAATGGCTGGGGTTCAGCCAGGGTGGCAGGGGCCCAAGTACTTGGGCCATCTCCCACTGCTTTCCCAGACGTATTAGTAGGGAGCTGGATTGGGAGTGGAGCAACCAGGACTAGAACTGGCACCCTTATGGGATGGTGGTGTTGAAGGCGGTGGCTGAACGCACTGAGCCACATCAACCCCTGCCACTTACTCTTTGTATAACCGTGAAGTCTCTTAACCTTACTGGAAGCCTCAGTTTCCCCGTTTGTGAAGTAGAAGTTTTCCTTCAGAGAACTGTAAGAATGAAAGGAGATTGCTTGTTCAGGTCGCCAGCATCAAGCTCTGCAAATGTTCATTTTCTTTTCTTTTTTTTCTATAAGTTTCTTTCCAATTCTAAAATGAAATTCCTATGCTCATCTTATACAGAAACGTTTGAAGCACAACCAGCTCATAATTATGGAATTTCCTGTATTAAAGGGCTCTACATTTCCTTCAAATCAGACTTGTCATCAGAAGGCTTTCCAAGGTCTGGATGAATCTTTTCAAATTAATAACAACATCTGGATTTAAAAAAATGGTTCCTCTCACACTCACAGAATGAAGACAGGGAGAGGAAAGAAAAGTATGATAAAAGTTCATTGTCTATCCTTTCCCTGAGCCAAAACAATAGATTATATAGCAAATTTTTTTACTGTTCTATAAACCATCTGTGTTTGCATAACAAATCAGTACTGTTACCCTATTTAAAGATTGGATACATTTCCATGTTGCTGTGAATGCAATAATTACCTTTTGATGCTCTTCCAATGTCTCTTTACCCATAATCCCCCTGTGTGTCTACATAGTTCTTTTCTTTGTCAATCCATTCTTACTGACAGAGTTCGAAATCTGCCACTGTTTTGTAATAGCTCCAGAATTCCATTATTTCCATATGTTTACTATATTTGTTTGTATCTGCATGATTGCTATGGTAACAAATAACATTCAGGAACCTAGGGGAGGGGATAATGGTTTTTATTTTCTGTTGAGGGCATATCACGTTCATAATATTTCAACTTCTTAAAAAAAACTGAATTAGGAAACATGGCTACCCTACTGAGATATTAGTAAGCTTATTTTTTAAAAAATGTAATGTCTTACAATTGACAGCTGGCATTACTCTTATGATGGTAATGATGCATATGACAATTTCTGTGTTGCCTTAATTTGAAAAGTACATGTTATCAGAGAGAAGTTTTTCAGGGCAGGTTATTAAAGTCAAGTCACGTCCCAATATTAGACACTTTATTCAGTAACCAGGGAGGAAAATTAAGTTGATTTTCGGAATATGAGTTTATGAAGCAATCATATCTGGAATTCTCATTTGCATTTTGGTGAAATTTGTTTAGGCATTTGACCTACTTTGCTCAATCTTTTTGCCCTCAATCTTTTAAATACATGCTACATAAAAATTCAAGAAATGCAATATTTTACTCATGGCTCATTCACTCAATTATAGTCAAAGAATAGCAAAATCCATGCTTTTGAGGTCTGCTTTAGAGATGAGTTTAAATGGAAGTAATAGACAAATTCAGCAACTTAAACAAATGGAGATGAATTTTTCTTAGGTGAAAAATGAATCTGGAGGTAAGTAGTAGTTGATGCTGAGTCAGCTGCTCAAAAATTTCAGTGACTGAGGCTCCTCTTTGTTTCTCTTTCACCTCCTTGGTGCATGGACATTTGTCCTCAAGAGTGCAGATTTGGTGATGCCCTCCAGGCATCCTATCTTTCTAGAACAATGAAAGGGCAAGGGAACAGTCCAGGTGACTGAGTCTCATTTTATTAGGGACTAAAACTGTGTCATTGACTCTCTACCCTCTGTAGTCCTCCACATTCATCTTACTGTCCAGACCTGGCACATGTCCACTCCTACCTGGGAGATGGCTAGTGAATAAGGAATTAAGGAGGGTATGGCTTGCTCAAACCAAGATCTTTATGAATCCAGGCTTGAATTGGATCTACAAGTCACCTTTATGCTTAATGTTGCATATCTCAACTCTTGTTCATATTAGTTAAGGAAATGAATAGAGAAAATTTAGAACACAGATTATCCCTGCAGGATAGATTAAACTGTAGTCCCAAAGACTGTGAGTTAGTGGTATTATCTGTTTTTAAGAATAGCAGAATATGTTGGTTATATGTCACTAGGGTTTGTATGGAAGAAAAGGAAAAATGGAAGAACTGGGAACACTGGTAGTTAGTCTCTGTCTGGGCTTTCCTTTACTACATCTGTAACCCCCAGGAATTAGAGAAAACTGACTCAGAGTAACTTTGTTTGCTGCCATTTTGATTAAAAGAGTTCTAGGATAGAAGTCAAGTGTGATAGACCCGTGGAGTCATAAGTAGTGAATTATTCTTCAAGGAAAAAGGAGTATTACAAAAGATTAGGGATTTAGATTACCTTATGTCAATTTTCTTTCTTATCCATCCATTCATTCATGAGTATTTTCATGTTTAATATGCCACAAACTAATCTAGGCTGTGGGTATATGAAGACAAATGGGACAAAATACTTATCCTTAGAGCTCACATTCTGAACAAAGACAATCCTATACATTGGTAATTACTTTGGAATATATTTAGTGCCCTGGAGGAGAGAAGGAGAAAGCCAGCTTGACCTCCAGGAGGAGGAATTTGTTGGAAAAATAGGGAGAGGGAGGCCATTCCGATCAGAGGGAATGGCATTTGCAAAGATATTGTGAGCTGAGAACTGCGGTACTCTTAGGGTGGCCAGAGAGAGATTGCACTTAGGGAAGGGAGCAGAGACAAACTCGAGTAGAGAAGAGAGAGCATGTCACAAGGTCCTTAATGTCTAGTTTGAGTTAGGTTGAATCCTGTAGCCTGAGAAGAAATGAGGGTCTACAATAAAGCAGACTTTGCAGGAGGAGCAGATAAAGAATCTGTGGAGGTGGTAAATTATATAGGATTTAGGAGGATTTTAACACAAAATTTTCTTATTCATTTTCATTTTATTTGAAAGGCAGAGAGACAGGCTCAGAAATATCTTCCATCTGTTGGTTATCTCCCCAGAGACCTACAACAGTCAGAAACAGGAGCCCTGAACTCAAATGGAATCTCTCATGTGGGTGTCAGGGATCCAATGACTTGATCAGCACCTGTTACCTCCTAAGGTGCATTAGCAGGAAGCTGTGATTGGGAAAGGAACCAGGACTTGAACCCAGACACTCTGCTGTCAGATGTGAGCAGTCTGAGCTGCTCCTTAACCACTGTGCCAAATGCTTCCCTTTAAGGGTGATTATGTGTGGGGTGTGAGGGCTACTGTTACACCCTGATCCCCGTTGGTGGCCTGGTGAGCTTGGCCATGCACCACGCTGATGCCATGCACCAAAATAAGATGTGTATTGAGGAGCAAGGCTGGTAGCAAAGTTATGAGAGACATCTTCCTACACACTCCCCTTTTTCATGTGAGGTGGAAACAATATTTTCTCCCAAACTTGGCTGCTGCTGTCTTGACTCAGGCCAGCTCAAAGGCCACCCGTGCATCCGAGTGGCTCACCACTCAGTCACTCAAACTCCATCATACAGGAGGCATATCTTTTTTTTTTTGAAAACTTTTATTTAATAAATATAAATTTCAAAAGTACAACTTTTGGATTATAGCGGTTTTCCCCCCATAACTTCCCTCCCACCCACAAACCATCCCATCTCCTACTCCCTCTCCCATCCCATTCATCACTAAGATTCATTTTTAATTATCTTTATATACAGAAGTTCAATTTAGTATATACTAAGTAAAGATTGCAACAGTTTGCACCCACACAGAAACACAAAGTGTAAAGTACTGTTTGAATACTAGTTTTACTGTTAATTCACATAGTACAACACATTAAGGACAGAGATCCTACATGGGGAGTATGTGTGCAGTGACTCCTGTTGTTTATTTAACAGTTGACACTCTTTTTTATGATGTCAGTAATCACCCGAGGCTCTTGTCATGAGCTGCCAAGGCTTTGGAAGCCTCTTGAGTTCACAAACTCTGACCTTATTTAGACAGAGCCATAATCAAAGTGGAAGTTTTCTCCTCCCTTCAAAGAAAGGTACCTCCATCTTTATGGCCGTTCTTTCCACTGGGATATCATTCACAGGAATCTTTCATTTTGGTCATTTTTCGCCACAGTGCTTTGGTTTTCCATGCCTGAGAAACTCTCATGGGCTTTTTAGCCAGATCCAAATGCCTTAAGGGCTGATTCTGAGGCCAGAGTGCTATTTAGGGCATTTGAGGAGGCATGTCTTACTTGAGACGTGCAGTAAGGGAGTTGCTGGCTGCACTGAGACAGGCATGTGGGTTACCTGACTTTTAGGGTGCCTTCCTTTCTGTTCTCCCATATATTGTATTCTGCCTGAATAGGAGAGGTAAAGCCATCAATACATGTCTGCTGCTGTTTGGGGACAATCAGCTGGAACTTTGTGTAACTAAGGATCAACTACCAATTTAGCTATGACTGGTAACTTTCATGCAAGCTTATCTGTTTTCCCAACTGGGAGGGGATTTATTTTATTATTACTTATTTTGAGAATGGAAAGTAAAATAAAACTCTTTGTGGTAAAGCTGGGCAAGTTATCTAAGTAGTGCTACACTCTTATTAATTACTTCATATTACTTAGTGCAGAGTTTATTACTCTTTTTTGAACACAGGCATTACTAAGAACCTGACAAAAGTTAGTTGTGCATTCTCTTCTTCCAAAGAGGTAAAAATGCATATGCTGGATTAGGTCAGCTTCTGTTGGTTGTAACAAAACTAGCATTAAGATTAAGGAAGAATTTGTAATAAAGAAACTGGGATGTCCTGGGGTAGAAGGAACTCAAGGGCAAGTGAAGAGGCAAGGCTTTGCCAAGAGCTGGAAGCAGGAACCAAATGCTTCCCCAGTCTTTGTCCAGAGCCACGCGGACTCTGTCCCTGCTCTTCTTACAGAACTTGTTCCATCTCTTGCAAGTGGTCAGCTCTGTGCTTTTTATATGTGTGCTGCCCCATAGCACCCAAGGTAACATCACCGGAAGTTTTGAACATCTGCAGAAGTGAAGACCTGTGCTCCTCAATCCCAAATTCTAGATTTCTGGAAGAGAAAACTTGTGATTGCCCACTTCACTGTATTCAGATCTATCAAATTTGTCCCCCATGATTGATGAATAATTTTCATCATCTTTGGACGTCCTGAATCTCAGCCATGGTCTTCAAGTTGGAACCACTGACTAGAGAAATTTGAATGCTGCTAGTCCGGCAGTACTGTATTTCAGCTGTAAAACTGCAGAAGACTGCAAATATGTTTGAGTTGAGGATATTTGCAGGGCATGGGCCCTAAGAACACTTGCTCCAAGTAGGAGCTGTGAAGTTTCACTATCAGTAGTTAAATACCAGGGTGGTGAATATGATGGATATTCAATTATAACACATTCCAAGGTCATTGATATTATATTCCTAGCTTTTACTCTTAAAGGTTTGGAAAATTCAATTTTAATTATTGTTAACACGCTTCATAAATATCCAAGGGAATACAATGTAGACCTGTTAATACATCCATAGAGCAAAACTCTGGCGCAAGTTGTTTTTTCTTCCACAGTTGGAGAAAATTGTGGTGTTGGGCTTGCCTCTTGGGGCATGTTAAACCGCTTTTAATGCTGTCTCTTATTATTTTCTAACCATATACACTTTCTGCACATATCTAACTAGCTGCTTTAGATGAAACCCCAATGTCTGGCCAAGCTGATATAAATCTCTAGTAAGTGGTAAGGGAGAACAGACTAACACAGTGCCCTGCTAGTGTTCAGACAGTACAGGGTTTAATAGTCTCAGGAGCAATCTTAAACTTTTTTCCAGTTCTATGGGATGATGTTTCTGAGCTGTCCGCCA